TCTGTCTTCTGTGCAGATTCGCCTCGTTCTGTCAAATAAGGTCTGAACAAGACCACGTTTATACTCCAGAGGCATAAAGCTCTCGAAGTGTAAATATTGGCCGGTCCACGTTTCCTTTCGATAAACGGATCGAACAATCGTTCCGTTTTCTCTTCTGGTCATAGTAATGTCAAGGAAAATGAGTGTGTTGTTCGATTCATATTTCATTGTGAAGTGTTTATTTGGATGTAGTCTGTTGAGTTCATCCATAATTTTCGTAGCTTCTTCTAAGCTTTCTGTTTTAACTAGAGTGTAGTCGACGTATCTTTTGTACAGGATAGCGCGCCCCAGAATATTGGTTCTTTTTTCTTCCAGATGTGCCATGAACAAGTCTGCCAGGACTGGGCCCAGCGNGTCGGTTGTGCAGAGCAGTAGTAGACGCTCAAGGACGGACACCGGTAGACACAGTCGAATATTTTTTTTCTCTACATGATCGCGAATAATTTGTATGACTTCACAAACTGGTACATTAGTGAACAGGGATTGAACATCGAAGGAAGCCATGTGTTTTCCTTCTATGTTAATCTTGTTCAAAATATCCACCAATTCAAAACTGTCCTTGACTGTATGCTTGATTATCGATTTATAAACTGGTTCTAACACCTTAACGAGCCATTTTGCCATTTTGTGCTATGGTGAGTTCGTCATGGATAGAATTGGTCTGAGTGGCACACCTGGCTTGTGGAGTTTCGGTAGGGGAATCTTAGTTCCTTTCGGCTTCAGGTCCCGCGCGGTGTTCGAATCGATGAAATGTCCTTCTAATAGAAACTGAACTTCAGAGGCAATTCTCCGTTCCAGCTCTTTGGGGTCATCACATGCTTTTTCTCGTAAGAACTTGCTGGCGTCATGGAGGATACATTCCATCTTTCGTTGATAATCTGCACGGTCCATCAGGTCAGCCTCAGAACCTTTATCAGGGTTTAAAATGATCAAATCGGACTCGTCCTTCAATTCTTTTAAAGCGGATAAATGCTCGGGAGTGAGAAGTGACTCTTGTCTAGAAGGTGTTTTTCGGTATTGACGCTCTAAGTCAACCAGTTTTGCTTTTATTCACGACTCTGTATCTTTTGAGGTTGCTTTCAATTGTTCGAAAAAATATTCAAACTGTGCGTGCAATTCAATGCTGTTGATTTTCTTAGGTGCAACACAAAAGCAAAGGCCACACGAAAGTGTTTGGAGTTGAAGCTGATTTAGCTCAACAGATGACAGATTCTTAACAAATTTCTCGGGTTCTTTTGGGAATGAATTATTGGCTAGTTTGTGCACTAGGGATTTCTTGTTTTCTTGTTTTCCGAACAGCATCAGCGCAGAAGTTGGTATACTTGATTCGTCAGAAGAGATTCAATTCGTCCAAAATTACCGTTTGGTCAGTGAAAGTGGATTGTAGTGCAAACAGTCTTTCTTTGGCATCATCAATTTGACACAACGTCATACGGCGTAAGTTTCTACGAGAAGCGCAAATAATGTTGGACCTCAAACGCTTATAAAATGAAACGGGATAACTGTTGCATGCCACACATTGCTCGAGGAAACCGATACGGACTCGAATCACTGCAATCTTGCATCTTAACTGACTTTACTCCTAATGGGATTTATCGTAAAACGTCATCAACAGCTGCATCATGTTTTCAGATCAAAAATCGGACATAAACAATAAGTTCTCTGGCAAGGAATGATTGAAATATTCTGACGGATTTTGTGGTTCGAAGATTCCAGAATTGACAAACATTCAGTTTAATAAATCCCACGAAATCAATCAAAATGATGAATCAAAGGGTAAATAGCTATCGTCTTTGTCTTTTATTTACTCTTTACTTTTATTGAAATTTAGAAGATTCATCTCCTCCCTCATATACATCACTTAGTTCAGAGTTTCTTGCTTAGTTCAGGTTTTCAATCTTAGGAAAACGTTGTCCTGGATAACTACCAATCGCAACTGCATTCATAGTTTTTACCTGTGAATTAGTTTACGTTATTTTAGTCACGGACTCAGTATCGCCAAGTTGGGCCAGTCACAATAATGACGCGCTTATACATCTAATCATTTACTGCTCTCTGATTGGTTCTCATGTGAGGCTTTGGATTGGTCAGAAATGCGTTATCCGGTCAATCACTAAAGTTCTCCCAGAGCGCTAAATTAGCCCATCGTTCATCCAACCTCCACTCAAAGGTTGCGTTAACATATTGGATTGGAATTAATCAACTTTCCCACCCGGTACATCTAACGGCAACATCAGATTCATAATACAATATCCGAAACCAGCGACCATTATGTTCGGTTAGAATTTATTCCAGTACAATCTCGTCGGGACTAATGAGACCGGTAAATGTACTCAGTTTTATCCGTGTTTGCCTGTGGTGGGTGTTTTATATGGATCAGTTAAACTGGGGAACGGGAACTAAGGCAGCAAGTAAACAATTGATTGCTGAAGTTCCTGGTGATATTATGCTCGGCGGTTTGTTTCCAGTACACACTTCGGGTACCACAATGTGCAATGCCATTAATCCTGAGCGGGGAATTCAACGCGTCGAAGCTATGCTGTTCACCATAGATGAGATCAACAACAAAAGTGAATTACTTCCCGGCATCCGACTCGGGGCCACTATACGGGACACGTGTTCAGCCACAAATTTCGGATTGGAACAGGCATTGCAGTTCGTTCAGAGCGGTTCGAAATGCGATCATGTGAAATGGGGTCAGAACTCGCAACATCAACAACAACAACAACCGGTCAATTTGGTCACACGTGGTGTGGTTGGAAGTTCGTACAGTTCGGTAACCATCTTGGTTGCCAATTTGTTCCGACTGTTTTCGATTCCACAAATCTCTTACGCTTCCACAAGTGCGGTTCTGAGTGACAAACGAGCATTCCCGTTGTTTGCGCGAACTGTACCGTCAGATGTGGTCCAGGCCCGAGCAATGGCAAATCTGGTATCAGCACACAACTGGACCTATGTTTCAACTGTTCGTAGTGCTGGAGACTACGGTGATTCCGGAATGGATGCGTTTTGGAAAGAGGCGGATAAACTGGGAGTATGTATCGCGGCACGTGAAGTGATACGTCCCAACTACGGAACTGATGAGTTGGATGCAATTGTCCATGTTTTGCGTCACGACTTTGCCAAAGCTCGTGTAGTCGTACTTTTCACGGGAATGGATCACACCAAATTGCTATTAGACGCAGTACGAAGAGCTGGTTTGAATGATCACTTTGTTTGGATTGCCAGTGATGGATGGGGTCGAGAGAACCTACCCGTATCAAACAATTCGCGCGTGGCGAACGGAGCACTCACAATTGAGATCCAGTCGAAACCGGTTGCAGCATTCACAGATCATTACCTGAATTTGGGTTACAACAACCCAAGAAATCCATGGTTCAAAGAGTATTGGGAAGATCTGTTTGGCTGTACATTCGGGGACACATTAAGAGTTAGAAGATCCACCTCGGAAAAAAACAAGGCAGCCACAGTCCGAGTTCCCTGTTCCAAAGACCCGAAGCTGCGTCTGCGCGATAAAATTGGATCCGATTTCAAACAAGAGGCAAAAATCCAATTCGTCTATGATGCAGTTTATGCGTTCGCTTCGGGATTACACATGCTGCAGAGACAACTATGTGTCGGCAACCCGCATAGTCCAAACTGGGACAAATACGGTTGCATAGCAAAATTGCTCAACTATTCCGGAATGGATTTTTACAAATTGATGATCAAAGCAAATTTTACGCGTGAGTGAATTTGGGTGTGCGAGATGAGTCACGTACGATTGGAATTTTATGTTGTACGAATTGCGATGAACGCATGGGGAGTATATAGAGCATGGGAATCCAGTTTATTCAAATTATTAACCCTCACAAGTAGTTGGAATGAGGTGCACAACAAACTTTAGGTTTGAATGAGGGTATTACGAAAATAAATAGCTTTTACCTGGGAATTTATTGTGAAAAATTGTAAAACAAACAAAAGGCACGTATCAAATGAGCGGCATTTATTAAGAATTAGTGAACGAATTCAGTCTAACGCACCTTAATTTTATTTTGCAGTACGTAGTGATTGTGACCATCTAGTTTCAATGCCTAGAAGAATGAATATTCCCGACTTTCTAATTTTCAATCAGTAGTGGCGAATGGAGGGACAATGTGATATTTTTGGAAACTGATTTATAATGATTTGGCTGCAGTAGTTCATTGTATGTTTACAGGTATGATGTCTCAACTATATTTTTCCTTTTAGGGTGCGTGTTTCATTGTTACCTCTTAGCATTTTATTGTATCTTCATCCATTCGTTTTGGCCGGCTTTTACTAAGTCGCCGTTCGGTGTATGCCAAATAAAGAACAGCTAAACACTTCCCAACCATTTCTTTGCGGCTGAACCACCCTGCATAACACGAAGATGGAAAGACATTTTTAGATCGCTTATACAAGCACACATGAAAATCTCCCCCGGTGCATGGACAGGACGACTTGAATACCACTCCTCGTAGGAATCCAGTGAGGATCGTACTGCCTATAGTAAAAACCGATTGCATGAACTATCAATTCTAACACTCAAATCATTCAGGAAACAGTGTATACATTGCCCTTAAACTCCCGGTCAGTGTGCTACAGGTAGAAGACGTAATTGGGGTGCAAAGGAATGTGATCATAGTTTTGTTTCACAACAGTTTTTTTTAGAATACGGCGAGAAGAATAGGGGCTACTAAATTCATTTTCTCTGTATGTTTCAAGCTGTTTCCAAACTGGTCATCACGTGAACAATAACTCGTTAAAAGAATGCATACATCTTCATTAAAACCTTGGTATATTGCGCACTTTTTGCCCCGTGGAAAATTGAAATAGTCACGTAAATCTTTCTGCATATTGAATGGTTCTAACTTGAGAATTATTCCATCTTTCTTAAACCTTCAGTATTTGCATACGAAAATTATTGTTTCAGCAGATAAAAAGACCTATCTGAGAGATGATAGATGTTACAAGTTTAAACCCAATAATGCTCAGTTCTGTCCTTCATACGCCCTGATTTGAATAGACCTGCGCTGTGTTGAGTTTAACCTTGAAAGAAGTAGTACATCGGTTTGTTCCTTATGATGGATGGTCCAAACAAAACTTGAGTTTTACTTTCAAGTGCCTTCCTAGGACGTTTTCATGCACATTGTCTCACTCAGTGGTAATGAATCTGATATTGGGAAAATATGACTAATCCTTAAATTACCACATAACTTTGAAACATTTTAAAGTCGCGTTTCGCTACATCGAAACCGTGACGACATCCCACCGCAATTTATATGCGCGTCCATTTGGTAGGATTCGTACTGTTTTGGTTGAACCTATTAAAGGTTTAAAAACGGTGGTAATATTTTCTGATTTGAATTCACTCTATTCATCATTTTAAAAAAGAACATGATATAACCTCAGGCACCACAGATTGTACAAATCAGCCTAAAATAAATGTTCGAAAACACTCTCAACACAACAACACTTATTGGGCGAAAACGTAAGAATATTCAGTCCTATTAGTATACGAAGATTTTACTCGTTTGAAATGCAGTATCTCGCTTGCAGTGCAATCAATAAATGAGAGGAAGTAAAATCAGCCAAATAGGGAGATGATTCACCATGTTTCGTGAATAAATCAATCATCGCCGAAAACAATCTAATTCATTTTACTTCTTCAGACACAATTTCACAAATGCCTTCAACTAGAATCGATTCCTCACAACTAGTAATATTAGTTGTGATATAAGTTGCTGATTCCAAACCGTTTGACAGTTTGATGAACTATATCCAAGAAATTGATCGGTTACATTGATCGTTCAAATAATCCAGAAACCATACATTATTACTTTACAGTCTATAAGAAACTGATATATTGAAGTCAGTGTGCATTTATTGTGAGCATATTCCGCTAATTTTTGGCCCCTCGATGCTATCCTAAAATCAAATCAGTTAGACTAAAAGTATAAGTTTGATAAATTCGAAATAAAATGTTTCGATTGACGTTGAAAACGATGCAACTTGAAAATAGGCCCGTGAAGTCAAATGACTGGTCTCAGTTATTTCTGATCATATGCTCCCGGAACTGTTATATAATTAAACAATGCAATTATTTTCACCTGATATCCAAATCTGAAGTTATTGGTAAAAATTGGCATGTTTCAGATATAAGGAAAACTAACTGTATAAGTTGAGGGAATGTTTACAACTCGAATAAAGGGAATTAACCGATTTCAAGAATTTGGCCAGTCAANAGGCCCGGGGAACTAGAGCGCTTGAACCAAACGTTTTTATGCTCGCAATGGAGGGTTTGTATTTGGTCTGAAAAAGCATCCTCAATAGCTACGTTTCACACTCACGCAGTATTTCTTCAATTAGCGTACTGCCAAAATTCAATTTCTAAGGCATTCTACGAATTCATTCAGTGGCAATGTAAGCATGATGATGATGTAGAAAGAAACTCAAAGATGAGCAAACATTTTCGTGAAAATCGCACTTGGGGTGACCTTTTTAAAGCAGTTGGTTAAACGCCTAGTTTAGTGATATACGTGAAATTTGCCATTCGAACGGATAAATAAAAGTTGACGAGAAATGACTTACCGTTTTATCATTCACGTGTATTTTGGAAATCGATGGCACTCGAACCAGCAAATTTTATACAATATGTGTTCTATTTTGTGCTTAAATGNAATGAATTGTGGGAACAAGTATAAAAATTATTCCCTTTTTAGAAGTGGTTGGTGGGTCGAAATGAGTATGTTATAACTGATTGGGTATACCCAAGGGTTTAATGATAAGGTTACCGAAACCTCGAACGAAAAAGTTCTAAATTCATGTTTTCCTATTTCAGAAATGCAAGTCATAAAATTCGGATAGCCAACATTGGATGACACACTGCGATTCCGACCTTAGGAATCGTTGTTTGATCACTGATCGAGAACAAGTATACGAAATGTCCAGTTCTATACGGAAATGCGGTTTTAAATTTAAAATCCTGAATATGTGTTCCACTGAGTACATCCTTGTCGTTCAGTATGTCGAATCCCTTAGAATGATTTTCCTCACAATCGGACTATTCACTGGTTATATGCATGGAGGAAATAAGGGGCAAGGTTCGATTTTTATAACATTTTTATGAAGTATAGTCACACAATTCATGCACCGATTACTGCCAAGAACGTAACATCACATCATTATTTACAGAACTGATCAGTTCGCATTTTGCAATTTTCAAGCGGGCGAGACACTATTGACTTTAAAGTGCCCAGGGCAATACGTTTTGCTGATATGAGGTTCAATTATGTGTTTCGTAGCCGTATAAATTTTATCAAATCCAATAAATAAATATCTTTAAATTTCTGCAACTAATTTACATTCAGTTTTGAATTATGAATATCCATAGTCACCAAGATTACAATCATCGGTTAAATTTTCAGGGTAGAATACTTCTATTGTAATTTCGAGGTTTATATGTGCTCGTGTATTACAAAATTTCAGTATGTAACCAGCTCTAGATTTTTGTTGGATGCAGGCTGTAACATACTTTAATAGTGTTTGGAATTCGATACAGGAATTTCCTGCTTCGCATCTCCCGCGAGTTACAAGGTCCCAGTATTTGTATGCCAAATACTTTGTGCGGTAAAACTCGTGAAATTTAAGAGAATTTGGACAGTCATTCCAATTTGTAAGAGGCGTTTTGTAAGACACTGATGGCAAACGTCAATTATATAATCGTCGACGTTTTTTTTTCAGGTGACGAATTTTGACACCTACATTCGGAAATAACCATTTGTTGTTTAATCATTTGAAGGGTTAAAATCGCTAACTACGGTTTACTATCGATCTATTTCCATCGTTACCTGATCCAACCTAACCGTAGAATTACATGTGAGTCTTGATGCAACCTTTTTCTTCTGATCGCTATTCAGTGCTTTGTACAACGCTGTTCGCTTAAACCTTACATGTTCATCTACATCATGTATGTTTGTTGGCTTAAAAACAGTACTTGGCTAAGAATGCACACAGACGGTGCGTGATGGTGATTGTTTTTCTTTTTGAACACACATTGGCAGTTGTCTGAGACTACTCATCGATTTCAGCTGTCCAAACCACTTAATAAGCGACAAAATGTACCGTCTGATGTCAGTAAAAAGAATGTTTTAGACAATCATATATAGTTCGTAGGTCGTATCATAGAACGGCAAATCACCGCAACGTTACACTAGCTTTTGCGGGGAACAACAGTAATTTATAATAAAGTTCAACTCATTAACAAACATTTGAGCTCCACTGGAAATATTTCAAACAAATTATCCCATGTTTTGCTTGCATCGTTACTAGAATTTCCATCATCATCATCATCATCATCACCATCGTACAGCGAAATACAGTGAGGCGAACTTCACTGATCGCTACCAAACTCTCAGTGCATGCCAGGTCAGTGGTAAACTTTACCGCTAACTACCAACGTTTAGAATACAGATATATATATATATATATAGCGAGAGAGGAAGTTGTGGTTTATCTGCTCAACGGCAAGAACCGATCAATTTCAGACCAGCACCACGAGGTAAGCATTGTTTTGAAGTCCCTTTTTCTCTGTCTCATATGCACTGAATCACTGGTTTCCTCTAGGAAGAAACCGGTACGCATGCAGTTAGAACTAGTTTTGTGCGTGCATTTGTGTGTTGAGCACATTTCCGGCCGTTAATCGTCCCGAATTGCAAAGTTCGTCATGTATTTAGGTTTTTATCAGTTCCCAGTATTCTCCTATCGAGTAGCAGATGAAATGACGCCTTCTGTGGAAACGGAATACGGCCGGAAAAAATTTCGAGCTACTTTTGGCCACCTAATTTTAGTTCTGGCCTGAATACTCCGTGAGTGTATTTGGTTTTCAGAGTTCACATTATTGAAGTGAGGTGTAGGACAGTGCTGGTCAGTGAGTTGCATTTCAGCTAGAAATTATGGCAGGAAAGAATAAGTGGTATTACTGGCAGTAATGCAAACTTATTTTTACATTCAATGGTGATTCTCCGTTTGAATTACTCGCAAACATATTGGCCGATTATTGCTGAAGAAGCATTCTTCCATACCGTGTGCGTTCCTTTTCGATCAAAATGATTTAGTCTGCGAGTAATTTAAGAAACGGTATTCGCGAAGAAATTTCTTTATCATGTATCGCATCAGGCGAGGACATATAGATATACATATATAAAGGTAATTATTGCGCAGACATCTAATGAGCTTATCAGAGGTGAGCAAACAGAGCAAACTAATGTGATAAAACTAGCGTTGTGGAGAAGGTGAGAGCGGAAAGGTCAAATAAATTAGCAGTAGAGAGGGGGAATGA